TTCATTCAAAGTCACTACGGCAAAGCTTAAATCCTTCAAAAATATTATCTGTTTTGGTTTTATGATTAAACCAAACTTACGTGGTTGAGGCTATTATACTTGTACTAGCAGCATGGCCCGGCGTTGCCCGTGCTTGATTCAAAAATCGTACGACTCATACAGCAATCGCTATCACTTGACTTAAAATATTTTTGCCCTTCCTTGCGTTTAAAGGAGTGCCCTTTGCCATGCTGATGTTGCTACATGCCTTATTTCTTGCCTATCTCACACCGCGATTTTTCTGAGCTCTATACTAAACATTAAATCTGTTACGAAAAAAGAACTAAACAAAATGAACACAAAACGATCAGCTTTAAAAAAAAGGACTCGTAACTGGAAAAACTGAATGAAAATAGAATGTTAACAAAAATACTTTTTCACACCCAACCCAGTTCTGCGAAATCAGAATCAACGTTGAGTTTAAGCAAGCAAATGAACCAATTGGAGTAAAGTGCCATGCAGATTTAAATTTTTCCCACTTGTGACGAATGCAGCTATTGATTTTTTTGCATTCTAGCATGCTAGTTAACATTCGTGTCAGTCAGCTGTTAGCTCTCATGCTGGCCAATAGAACCTTCATGCCTATTCGTGGCGGCCAGCTATAGGCTCTCCCTCTGGCCAGTACAAAATAGCCGCAAACTACATGAAAACTGCCGTAGAAGCATGAAAAAATCTATTATTTCCACTATCGATGGGAGTTGGGAAATGCAAAGTCGCTCTTGGCCTTCCCGCTAACTTGGAGCGTGTGGATGTAAATTTTGGTGCAAAAAATTGCATCCGTGCATTCGTTACACACACACACACACACACATCCTGCCTTTTATAGATAGAGATTATCTACAAATATGTGGTAAATAGAGATTAGTATGTTTATGTGATTAAATGAGTACTAATGCAGAACATCTGGACATTTTTACAGATTCGTCCAGAAAAGAAAACGTGTAAACAATTTGACTAGTCATGGGAAATGACAGGACAAGGGCTACAAAGCCGAAGAGTAGTGATAAAGGGAGCTACATTTACTTAGTGCCTAATACAACGGGATGTTTCAGTTTCTGAAAAAGCATGTTATATGAAACGAAGCAAATCTCTACGATATAAAATACAACATTGTAAGGACGATACCGTTTAGGACCATTACCGTTTGCAATCCACAAGTTATGGATGACTACGCAACTGATTAAAACTGAATATTACAATTAAATACAATTACGATTCCTTACAACATCCTCGTTAGTCACATGTTCTGTCTATGGCATTTTAAGCATCTCTGTCGTTTTAAGTCTCTTCTTATTGTCAAAATCATCAAATTTACTATAAAAAAGGACATGATGCGAGTTACAAGTTAATGGTTTAAACATCAAATACGTGCAAAATTTTAAATATCTGTGAAGCGTCTTAGCAAGGAATAGAAAATGTGACACCTCGCTTCGAACACTCAGAGGGCTAACAAAAAAGAAACATTCTAAAAAAAAATAAAGAAAAGGGCGCCGGGTGGCTACATGATATTAGGTTGGTGCAAAAATAATTTCGTTTTTTGACGTTCAACTTAATGTCAAAAAACGACATTATTTTTGCGCCAACCTAATATTATATGGCAGTGAATGTTGGAGAATACCACCCCCCCCGGATGAGGAAAAGACCACCAGCAACAGAAATGGGGTCCTCAGAAGGATACTGAGAGTTACATGAACGAAAGCAACGAGGAAGTCTTAAAGAAAATGGCAACAGAAAAAAGAAACACTTAAACTATCTATCAGAAAAAGACAGATTAAATTCCTTGAACGCATAACGAGAAGGCTTGGAAAATATAACCATCACGAGGCATATGAAGGGTGAGATAGATAATAAAAGAAACTAACCTGACATATATGCATGAATAAATGGCGAAACGTCATGTAGAGTCCTTAGCAAAGGGAGACAAACTGCTAAGAGCCGCACAAGATAGGAAGTTGGAAAAAGCCATGATCGCTGAAAGGATGCGACACATACAGAAAGAGTCTTTATAAATAAAGTGCTTTAATCAACCATTAAAAATGGCCAATAAGATTATATGTTCAACTTAAAATACAAAGTAAAATATATAAAGCTAATTTAACGAGTTATATAATTTGTCCCTGATATTCACAGCTGTTATGAGGCGGTAGTGTAGACTCATCCATGTGTATAAAGAGACGTAGAGATTAAATTCCCTTTTGATTAAGCTAATTACCCGCTTGGAAATTTCAAGTAATATTATCTTACTATACATTATCTGTTTTGGTTTCATGACATACTAAAACAATCTTAGGGATATATATATATATATATATATATATATATATATATATATATATATATATATATATATTTAGAACAATAAGAAAATTAAAAATTAAAAAATTAAAATCATTAGACACACTGGGTTGTAGATTAATATTCTTTCGTTTTTTTATTATTATTATTATTCCATTTAGATTCCTCGACTAGTTTCGACCGAAATGGCCATCATCGGGAGGCGAAATATTTCTGCTTGCTGTTGGCAAGGAACTACAGAAATGAATGTCTTTTGTTGGAGAAAATGAACCTTTGTCTGTAGTTTTCATTTGTTTTTTTATTTTTTTATCTTTTTCACATGAATCTTTTAACATTCCTTGTGTTGGTCAAACAGTCTCTTTTAAGTTGTTATTTGAGATAAGAACTGGATGGATACATTTTATCCTGAATTCTCTGGTCAGTTTGACAGTTTTATTGGACCTGGTGAGGGATGTGTCTCTGTTTAGTGTTTGTGTGTGTGTTATTTGGTTCTTAGGGAGTGAGTGAGTATGATATGTGTAAGCGTGTGTATTGCTGTAGGTGTGTGTTATCATTTGGCTCATTAGGGGTGAGTGAGTATGGTGTGCGTACGTATATATATATATATATATATATATATATATATATATATATATATATATTTTATATATATATATATATATATATATATATATAGGGGGGTACGCATGTTTGGGTGTGGACAATTTACACACTAGTCCACTTATACGAACACAAGAAAAAATATAAAAAGCTTAATCGCAGTACGTTCACACTCGTCTTTAATGAAACATGTATAAAAGAGAGATTGCTTCTAAAATACAGAATCGCACACACACACACACACATATATATATATATATATATATATATATATATATATATATATATATATATATATATACACAATTTAATTTAAAGAAAACTAGACAACTTTTATGGTTCCATGGTTATAATTATATAATTTATTTCCCCCAGGAGATTTTTACATGGATCATCAGACCTCACTTCCAAGTATGATAAAATGAATTTAAACTTACACTTTTGAAGGGCAGTATTAAGCTGATGTAATGTGATATAGAGGGTGATGAGAGATAGTGCGACAGACAAGGTCGAAATTAAAGAGGAAAGGGAGAGATAGAAATGCTTTTAATTTTATTACAATACTTCATAATGAGGAAGGTGGGTAAGGATTAGACATTGACCTATTACCCCTTCCTATAACTATATTTCCATTACTTATATATATATATATATATATATATATATATATATATATATATATATATATATATATATATATAATATGTAGGAGAACGAACAGTACGATTAAGGCGTTCAAAACATTAATTTAAAATACTGTTCAATACACAACCGTAAATATGTATTTATCTTATGCAGTGTTACATTAGAACATGCACACACACACACACACACATATATATATATATATATATATATATATATATATATATATATATATATATATATATATAAAAAATATAAAGACATGCTTCATGTTTTCTCTACTTATTTTCAATTGGATCCTTTCATGTTCACGGACAAGTTTTTTGGTTTCATTATTAAAGGAAGAGAGAAAATCACCTTGTTGATATATATTATTTTATTCCGAGTACTTTCGACATAGCACAATGTCATCATCGGGGTCTTGTTTATTTCGAGACAAATATTGTTGTGTTCACTATATTCAAAACAAATTTGCTGTGTTCATCTGAAAAAGATGTCTCTATGCACCACATTTTTGCGATTTTCAATTCAAGATGTTTTTATTTTGTTATAATTATTATTATTATTATTACTATAGATATTATTATTGCTGTTGTTGTTGTTATTATTATTATTATTATTATCAATAACAATGAAAATAAAATATGAGGACAAAAAAGTTAAAAATCAGAATTTTCATACACGGCTGAGTCACTTCTAATCAAAAATACATTATTATTGTCATTATTATTATTATTATTATTATTATTATTATTATTATTATTTTCTTGCGTTTCTATTGTATACACTGAATATTTTTTGAAAAGGAATTTTAAAGCGCTTTGTAATATGTGAGTTGTTCTTTTGAGGGCATGCGCTTCCAGGATTCCCTAATTATTATTATTATTATTATTATAATTATTATTTATTATTATTATTATTATTATTATTATTATTACTGTTGTCATTGGTGTCTTATTTTTGGTTGTAGATTTTTAGTTATGGTCTCAGATTTTACTATTTCTTTAGAAACCTTACTTTTGCCATAAATCAGACTCTTCGTTCAAAGCCACTACGGCAAAGCTTAAATCTTTCAACAAATAAAAAAAATGCATTTTTAAGATATTTAGTTGGCAGTTGCTCCATGTTTCCTATGATTGCTGCTCTTCTTCTTCTTCTTCTTCTCCTCCTCCTCCTCCTTGTTCTTCTTCTTCTAGCTCTCTTCCAACTCCTCTTCTTCCTCTTAAAAATCACCTGTCTTTTTTTATGTTTGACTTCTTGTTTTTGATTTATTTTGATTGGAAACATCACATTCCATTAAGAAACGGTTCATGGACTGCCATTTTGTACAGGCTGCATGAACTACCGTTGCATGGCTCACGCAACGATCGTAGCGGTAACTGGCAGCAACACATTTGATGTATGGCCACAATCAAAATCACTTACAGCTGATCCTCACACTTCATTTCTTTCCCTACCGAAACGTGTTTTCGCTTGCCATTGTCAAAAAGAAGGGAGCGAGGGGCGAATGTTGAGAATGATGCTTCTGAAGAAAACGGAAAGTATTTGGAAGGAAAAGATTGTGGGAGAATAATGCTGATGTTGGTTGAAAAATAAAGCCAAATGTCATCGGATCTTAGACTGGCATTAAGGATTAAGGAAGTAAGGAAACGGCGGGTGCTTGGGTGGCTGGAAGTGATCGGTGGAATTAAGCTGAAGACCAATAAAAAAAATCAAATATGAAAATAAATATTCAGAGAAAGAAAGAGGTTGGTAGTATAAAAACCGTAGCAGTGTGAAGAATGAAATAGAAACAGAAAATAAAATTTGGGAAGGATATATAGAGAGAAATAGATGAAGATGTACGCAGAAGCGTGCTATTTGTCTGTCGGGTGGGTGGGTGTTTGTGTTTAAGGGGTACACATAAGAAAATAGTTAATATGACGACGGAATAAGAAATGCAAATAATGAGTGCAAAGAGAAAAAGAGACAAAAATACAAATTAAATAATGAAATTAGGATAGATAGATAGATAGATAGATAGATAGATAGATAATGAACAGACTGAGATAGATAGATAGATAGATAGATAGATAGATAGATAGATAGATAGATAGATAATGAACAGACTGAGATAGATAGATAGATAGATAGATAGATAGATAGATAGATAGATAATGAGCAGACTGAGATAGATAGATAGATAGATAGATAATGAGCAGACTGAGATAGATAGATAGATAGATAGATAATGAGCAGACTGAGATAGATAGATAGATAGATAGATAGATAGATAGATAGATAGATAGATAGAAAAAATAGAAAAATGAATAAAATAGAAGAGCCTACTAGATAAATGTTGGATATATACATACATACACACATTATATATATATATATATATATATATATATATATATATATATATATATACACACACAGAAAGATTTGATTCGTGCGTTATTTCGAATGAAAAGAAGAAACAAATAAAACGACTATAAGAGAAAAATATAAGAATAAAAAAAAACGAAAGATACATTTTGGAGATAGAATCGTTTTTATTTTATATGCTATTTCGAAGAGAAAAGAAGAACGAAAAGACAAAGAACAATGTGCTGGCGCACTAACAAACGAATCGAGTTGGGAATAAAGAAAGTCCTCTCGTCATTTCCATTATCTGAAGGTAACAATGGCTGACTATTTGCTTGAAGTTATTTCCCGTGAACTGGCACGTTCTTTTCCCAGGGTTTATTTAATGCAAGCCCTTTTCATTAGTTGTTGACTGCCCAGAGATCGAACATAAAACTAGGTCTAAGAGCAGAAAATAAGAATAGTTTATTTGCAAGAATAAACGCAATGCCTGAGAAAAGAAAAGCTAATAATTTTGCTTGGTAATAGCAAATTGTCATAATAGAGAACATGTGTAAATATTTATGTAAATGCAAAAATCCACTCAGTAGTAAATCATTTTTCGCATTATTTATGGCGCAAATAAAGTAGTATGTATTTAATATCATTTCACCCCAAACAAGGAAATAACGCCACTAAGACGCAAGAGGTTACTCAGTGTTAGAGAATATGAGGAAACATATTATTAAGTTAAGAGAACAATAAAAGAACAATAATTAGAGTGAAGATAACAATTGATATTGCACTTCCAGAATTCACTGCATCTTATCACTAGGCATCCAACGGTGCTAGAATAGAGCTGGGGGTTCAATCCGCACCAGCGAATCTGAGAACTAAAAAGAAAAATAAATTTGTCCTTTCTGCCATCAATCCAATTGAGTGATTCGTTTTCAAGTTAGTTAAAGCCAGAAATTATTTTTAACTTGTAAGAATTTTATCTTAAGATAATGATTTAGTGATAAAAGTCTTACTAAATAACCCATATCTAGGAGCAAAGGATGTAAATGTATAACTTTTCCAAGGGTATTTGCGCGTAATTGAATATAACGAAGCCGAACTGGAATTTGAACTCGGCTCTCCGATTATCAATTTCGCGTTATTATCCATTACACTATTCGTACATCCAACCTTACGGCACCTGGTAATCCCAAAATGTATACCCATCTATGTACTGGCCAGACACAACGTTGCTTAACTTCAATGATTGTACGAGAATCGTCGTTTGAATATGATATGGCAGTAAGCCCTCACCTCAATCGAAGAAAATGCTCTGATTTTCGCATATCATTGGGTTCGTAAACGTTCATCTGAGAAAACAGTCGATAAAGTTTCAATCCTGAAAATAAGTACAAAGAAAAAAAATCCCCCAAAATTTTTAGCGAAAGATAAAAGATCTTTTTTGTTTTAATCAATTGATTCCAAACTATACGATAATACCATCAAGACACGTTTGGTTACTTAGAGTAAAAGAGAATGAGAAGACTTTAGAAGCAACCAGAATAACCATATCGTAAACATAGAAGAAAGGATACAGTTCTACTTCTATTCAAAAGACCGGGTAGGGGTGTGGATCGGACGAAAATTTGTGAGTTCAGGAGGAAAACCTTCGAAGTATAAGGGTGAAGTGGACTTTAGAAGGAATCGGAAACCCAATCATGAACAGGGAACAAAGGATAAACCTCTACTCCTATTCAAAAAACTGAGGAGGTGTATAAACAGGACGATAGGCGAACCTAACTACGCCTGTTGTGGAAGGAGAAAAAATAATTCGTGAAAAGCAATTCAAAGTTCAGGTGGGGACTTTAGAAGTATAGAGTTGAAGCAGACTTTAGAATTAACCGGAAGCTCAATCTTAAATCCTAAACTGGAAACAAGAGATTTGTCTACCTCCCCAGACGAGGCTAGTAGATAAGTAATGAAATAGAAGGTTTTAATACATGAAGGTACAATCAATCCTGTTCAAAAGAGCTGGAAGGAATTTCGAGCAAGCGATAGGCGAATCTGTCTAACAGAAACCGCCAACTTACATTCTATGAGAGAATCAGATAAGTACTGAAATCTTTAACGCCTAATATCTGATTTACCACCCTACAATTTTGAAAATCTCACTCAGCCCTCCCACTTTAACGTTTTATTTTGTGGTTTCATGCCTACTAGATATCCTGACAAAAATATATACTTGCTGTGATCGCCAATGGCAAAAATATATGAATGAGAAATTTATTCAACACCCCCTTCATAACTATCACCGAGGCAATAATAACAGTAAAATGATATTAAACCAATTGTCAATCTTGAAATGAGGTCTCCCTATAATGACTTTGCTGTTCAGCGCGAAATACTCATTTTGTTTTCCTTAATATTATGGTCTGTGTGTCGAAGAAAGTGTTGTTTTCTTTTTTATTTCTTTTATACGCTATGACATTCAAAGATGTTTAAGATCACGGCTCTCCACGAATTCCTGTCGGGTCTCTAACTGGTTTAATGCTGTAATATCCCTCTTTTTCCTTATTCAACAATCTATTCACTAAGTCTGGTCAAATATGTTACCCGCTATTACCACTTGCATCTCTTACCTTCCCTGTGTCCAATGAGTGTTTAATTCCCCGGGCTCACTTTCCTAATTATATATACCAGAAATTTCAGGGGTTTTTTCTGTTTGTAAATATCAGTTTCCTTGTAGTTCTTATTTTCCATAAAAAACTTTCCTTGTTCTGAGAATGGTATTCTTGACATTCGGGGATAGAAGTTTCAAGTCTCTTCTCCATCTGTACAAGAATCTCCTCAAGGAGACATGACAGTGGATAAGGGCGTTAGTTAGATCCAGTGACAGGACCAAAAGGAATGTGAGTTCAATACCTGGTTAAGGCAGTCGAGAACTTGGAAAGCGGAATTAACAGCAGACAACTGATAACTGACATCCATTAGAAATGACACGTGAAACTAGAACAGTCTACACCAGCGAGCGAAGGATTCAGTTCGACATTCCAACCACCTGAAGAAGGCCGAAGCGTACAACGGCCGAAACGTTGTGATAAATATGGCAACAAAGATGAGAACAATACTCTAAATAATGTAAATAGTGTACATAATACCTCATCTCAGAAATATAGAGAGATACTGAGGAATTTCCAACATTCATTGCCCTATAGGAGATGAGATATGCGAGTTCTAATCAAAAAGTACCAGGAATGGTGTCATGAAAAAAAACTAAAATACATATCAATTCAGCATTTAATCTCCTTCGAAGTAGTCCCCTGAAGCCGCACACTTTATCCTGTGTCGTTTCCATTGATGGAAGCATTCCTAGAACTCCTTGTTGTTTGGTCCCTTTCATGTGGGATTTCGATTTTTTGCCCGGGCAAAAATTCCCTGTAGACCCCATAATAACGGGGTCTGATTTGTCTACCTCCCCAGACGAGGCTATGCCGAAGGGCAGTCTCGTTTGGGTTCCTCTCTGCCCGAAAACAGAGTGTCGACAAACAGTTACCTAATGCTAACTCTGCTCAACTCCGCTTATTTACATAAACGGATGATTCCATTCATTTATATCTTATATGACAGTATAAAAGATCTTTTCTCTTCCCAGTTCCCTTAAAACGTCATCGTTGCTCACGTGTTCTTTCCCCCTTATTCTCTGTATCATTCGATAGAATCATTCGATAGAATGATACAGAGAATAAGCACACCTCTGTAGTTTTATATGTCTTCTTTTTTCTGAAGTTTTTATCCGGTATTCATTCGCATATAGGAGATTAGATGTTCAACACTCCTTTCTATGTTGCTAAGTACAATTTCTTGAACAGAAACTTTTTTTTGTTTAGTTCCTTTCAAGTGGAATTTGATTTTTGAAGAGGAGAAAGTCACAAGTGTCGAAACCCGGGGAGTATGGTTATTGTTGAACATGGTAAATTTTGCGCTTGGCAAAAACCTGCAGCAAAAGCCACGAAATTCTGTGATGTGATAAGACGAACACACTCTATATACTTCCATTCAAGGCACTGGTATAAACAATGGAAGTCAGCTAGAACGTTATAACTTGATGTGCATGCCTGGCAGAGTTGAAAATCAACCCGTGACAATGGCTTCACTCTGTGTACAGTAGCCCAGTTATCATAACAACAGTACTGATACTTTTTGATCAGATCACGTATAACAATTAGTTTCTGAGTATATTTTCCTATTTCTTCATACACTGCTTATTTTTGAAAAATCTTTTTTTTTTTTTTTTGCTATTTAAAAGCACCTCCGGATTTTCCATCCTTTTAAAACACTCCCGGATATTATGTTTTTGTGTCCCTAAAATTTAAGGCGTATCTCTCTTATTTTAAGTATATGTTACATCTTGGGTTTTCAAGATAACAGAGAGAAATAAATAAGACAAACTCGTAGAAATAGAAGGTTTACTACACAAAGGTACACTTAGCAATGGACCTAATACTAAATCGGTATTTACTCGAGCTCCCCAAAGATGTGACACAAGGCCAGTTTAACGTGGTTCTTTTCCGAGCTCGCAAGCCCGGGCAAAAATTCCCCGTTGATCCCGTAATAACGAGGTCGGATTTGTTTACCTCCCCAGACGAGGCTATGCCGAAGGGCAGAGTCTCGGTTGGGTTCCTCTCTGCCCGAAAGCAGAGAGTCGACAAACAGTTACCTAATGCTAATTCTGCTCAACTCCGCTTATTTACATAAACGGACGATCCCATTCATTTATGTCTTATATGACATTATAAGAGACCCCTTCTTCTCCCAGTTCTCTTAAAATGTCTTGGTTGCTCACATGTTCTTTCCAGCTTATTCTATGTATCATTCTATCTAATGATACAGAGAATAAGCACACCTCTGCTGTTTTATGTCTTCTTTTTTTCTGAAGTGTTTCTCCGGCATATAGAGGATTAGATGTTCAACACTCCTTTCTATGTTTCTAAGTACAATTTATTCCTTATTAACACTTCTTTTTTTTTTTTTCTTTTTTTTGCTTTGAAAATTATCTTACGGTATTGCAAAACGCCTTCGGCTTTCGATATTACATTTCTTATATTCTGTTAAAATACTTCCATATATTTAAATTTCAGTATCCCTCTAATATCATCTCTCTCTCTCTCTCTCTCTCTCTCTCATATTTTACAG